ATTTCATAGGTTATTAGGCTTCATTATAAGGATGCCAATGCTAGTTGTTAATGATAAATTTTCCTCGTTTATTAAACTTCAATCAATCGACTTAGTCAGAACAATAGAGTCAATAGTTGAAACGCAATAGCAAATTTATAATAAACACAAGTCCATCTCCTAATCTTTATTAAACAATTGCACTTGAGATTGCAATCAGGGGTTACCATCAGTTTCCCCATTGACCATGTTTCTAGAATCCTATGCCACTAAAATATAACCACATGCACGTATAACCACTAAAATATATTAGTAGTTCATACAAGCTATCATACTCCTTCCATTTCGCTTTATCTATCCGTTTGAGAAAATAGTCAACAGATTAAGAATGTAATTTTCTAAAAGTATTTTTAACTTGTTAACTTTTGGCCACTTTTTCTGTCTTTCCTTTCTTTGAATTCTAACTACCCACCTTGTTCCTGTGCAAATCAAGGAATTAACTAGTCTGAGACAAGCCCAGCCATTGTCCAAAGTATGTGCGCATGACCACAACTTTGTGTTAACCACTCTCCCTTGGTCTGTCATTACAACTTGCAATTATTCTCAGGAATTCAAATAGTTCCAGGATTTTAACTCAAATGTTAATTCAGGCAAAATCAGAGTTGAATAAAATTTATATATATATATATATATTAAGTTTTCAGAAATATTTCCTTCAAGGAATTTAGTACCCCAAATGTTTGATCATGACTAGATCCATCAATGTCTTTATCTTGAACAGCTTTGGTAACAACATCCTAGAAGGTAGAAAAAAAATATGTCAGGAAACAGAGTTACCTAAACATATAAAGGTACATGTGGTTATTCTCGACCACAACTGAAATTAATAGATACAAAACCATTTTTACGCATATAAAATAATGAAATAAAAATTATGTGACTTGTGACAACCTCTCGTAATAATACAGATTTGAATCAAATGGAAACTACATTAAATCCCTTAAGTCTCTTTCATCCAGCAATTGAACAATGCATACAAAATAGAACCACATGCATATTCACACTTAATATGTTTCTTTTGGGATGTGTTGAAGTCTGAATTTAGAGAAAGACAAAAAAGTTGTAATGCAGAGGACACTCCCCTCTCCCTGGACTCTTTGGAAAAATATTTTATATTTTTATGATGAAATATATTTATTATGATAAATATATGATTATATTAAGAGATTGATTAAAAATTGATATACATTTGATCGGGTGAATTTTATAAAAGAACAAATCACCCGATCAAATGTCACTTCAGTACAACAGCTTAAGGTAAGAAAAACCAAGAGCTAGCACACAAAAACAAAGTGAACGAGGAAGAAACCATCTCAATACCAGATGAATTTAAAAAAAAAGAAAAATTATAAACATTCACTTCCTTTTTCTTCCATCTCCTTTCCACCCTATTTTATTCCTATAAGTCTCTTTCTTTTCTACAATATCCCTTAGAAAGATGTTAGCAACAACACACAGGCTAAAATTTATTGAAAATCACCGAATTGCGAGTCTCACTCCTTATTAATGGAACCTCCTCATGATTTTGTAATTTTCAATACATCTTACAATTACTAGCACTCCTATAACTTGTCACATCAATCGCTTTTCCTCTCTTCCTTCGACCCAAAATGGAGTGTATGTTTATCATATTTCTTTCAAACAAAGTGAACCAATGAATACTTCCAAATGGGAAGACAATAGAGACCATTCCGAAGTCAATTGTAATTTGCAACCACGATCCACACAAGAGAGGAGGATAATATACAACACAATAGGTTAAAAAAAAACGTGCCTTGTTTAGTGCTTCAACCAAAAGGGTCTCAGCCTCATCAAAATTGCCCATGTGCATGCAGCAAACAGCCTTCCCATTCAAGAGCAAGCTAGTGGACTGATACCTCTCCGACAAATCCTGGAAAATCAGATACGCCTCCTGGATCTTCGACCCACCCTAATCCACCAAAAATCACCACTTTTTTCACCATTATTTCTATTCCAAATCTCAATTAATATAAATACAAATAGAATACAATACCACAACCAAATCAAGCCGCGAATTGGCGAGCTGTGTGAGAGTGTGACCCTCGTCCATCTGCTGCATGATCCGCAGCTGCCTCTCCGCGTAATCCGACCTATGCATCTTAATGAAGATCTGAACATTCAACGCATGCTTGAAAAATACAAAAAAAAAATTATAATAAGGAAACGAAATAATAGTAATTAAAATTAAAGTTATAGTTTTTACAGTTCCATGGTTCCACCAGGATTGGTGTATTTGAGTGCTTCGTTGAAATCCCTCTCGGGGAGGAAGACGAGGCCGGCGACGCGCCTGAGCGTGGCGTTGGTCCCGATGGCAGGATCGGCGAGCCAGTCCTTGAGGCTGGAGATGGTGGATTCCTGCGAGATGCGAGATTTAGAGGAGAGGGGAGGGGAGTGTGAGAGGAGAAATTGGGGAGAAATTGGAGATGCTGACCTTGTTGTCGGGAGAGGAGAAATAGAAGGCGAGGAGTTTGACGGCTTGGAGAGGAGTGGGGGCAGAGTCGTTGATTTCGGAGATGACGAACTGCAACTGGCCGAGGGCAATGTAGCAGTGGTGGACCAGGGAGTCGCGCTCCACGATGTCGTCTTGGGAGAGGGGAGATAAATATCATCTTGGATGTGCAGTGTGCAAAGTATACAGATTTATTACAATGCTTCCTTCGAAAGTCGTTCGTTGAAGATCCGCGAGCTTGGACGAAGATCCGCGACTGATCGGAGTAGTGCATGCGGCTAAGTAGAGTTGTGCGTGTGGATGAGAGGAGCGAAGTGAGAATTTTCAGGGATTGGGTGAAAAATTGGAGGGATAGGGTGAAAAAAAAAAACTGAGCGGGAAAAGTAAAAGAGGGAAAATGAGTAAAAAAATTTCAGGAAAGAGGGTGCCTCTCTTTAGGGTTTAAACTCATTCCTCTCCTCATGTGCTTTTTAAAAATATATTTTTTATTTTGAAAAAAAAACTACCATTTTAACTTCTATAAATAATATGAAATAAATATCTTTAAAATACAATTATTTTTAAAATTAATACCTTATATTTTTATTAATTAAATTAATATATAAATAATATTTTGAATTTAAACTTGAAAATAATGATTAATATAATTTAATTTAAATGCAAAATAGTAGTATTTCAAATTTAAAATAATAATATATTTATAATAACAATAATAATAGTTCAATTTTGAAATTTTAACAAAATTTTAAAGTTTTATGTACAACACTTTTTCTTTGGATATAAAAAAATTATATTCTCTCTAAATAACTACATAAAATCTTCTAACAAAAACACAAGATCGAGTAATACCTGTCATATTAATATTCTCTCTAAATGATTTAACACAGCTGGAGGTGTGGTGGCCGGCGAGAGACTGTTGGAACGGTTTAA